TCTGTGTCATCAGTCCAATCAGACACAAATGGCTGGAACAACAATTTTGTTAGACTACTAAACTTAGAGGAAACAAAATCCAGATGTCGCAAACAAAACATGCAGTGAAGCCAGAATCCAAAATATAAATGGTCTCAACTGGGGCAACAGGAGATCCTACTACCACCACTGTGTTCAATGACTGAGGTAAGCAGACGTCCAGGATGGAGAAAAGGGAAACAGCACAGAGTTGTGGAGGCTCAGGCAGGTGAAAGGGTCTTATCTGCTGATGTTCTTTCTTCTGTCTTCTATTCTTAGCACACGATCCTGCATGCAGTGTGCAGACAGGAGGATGAATGATGGTAAATATGCATGTATATATGATTGGTAGGTCCAGCTGCCCAGCCCTGTTGCAGTCTCCTAAGGTAAAACTGATTAGTTCTGTCAGCAGCTGTTACAGGTGGGGACATAGGATTGCTGCACCAGAGAGGACTGTCGCAGACACTTTCTCTGGTGGGAGACTACCAGCCTCTGTGGTGGCAGCAACTAGGCTTCTTCCTCAGACAGTCAAACAGCCTTGCCCACCTACCCAAAGGGGCCTACAAAAAGACTGTCACTCCAGTACAGCTGAGTTGCAGAGGGCATGCAAGCAGAGCCCTGAGAGGTGGGTGAACACTCCTTATATGGACCTCTACTCCCTAAGCAGATTAGAGTCAGGTGACCCACTTTTCCCACCCTTTCCAGGCAGGGATGGTGACCAGGAGGCTGATCACCATCGCTAAAGGAAAAAATCAAAATGGTCAACATAAAACCTGGCACCCCTTCCCCAAAAGTTCAGAGCTAGTCTAGATTTTAAAATCATCTTTTTCCTACAGATTACAATTTCTCAGGCCAAGTGTGGTTTGATGGATCTGGAAATGTCAGAAGTGTCATGGGGCTTCCTTTTTAAATCTTAGTAAATGGTATGTAATTTTTGGCCATATTAGACAGTTTCCTGTTCCCACTTATCTTAGATACCACCTGTCATTAAGCTGTGCTACAATTTACTTGTTAGTATTTAGGGTTGCCAAATGGTTTCAACAAAAATACCGGACACACTTGACATTACATCACAATCTACATTACATCTTATCTAGGAAAAAAAACAGACATTTATATTTTCTCATTTATATTTTTTCAATTTGTTTCCCAAACGGAAAGCTCAAATGCTGGACTGTTCAGTTCAAAACCGGACACCTGGCAACCCTATTAGTATTTGTACAACTTGATCACAATGCTGCAAGCACACTAAAATATAATGTAATTAATGCATAGTAAGCTTTATTGTAGTCCATAGTAAATTGTTAAAAAAAAAATTTAAATTAGCTTTCCAAGGGGCATCAAGACCAATTCTAGTTCAATATTTCCATTCACTAATAGGGTTGGATTGCCCATACCTGCCAGTAGGTCTGCCAGTTTGACACAGCATTTTATCGCCCAGTAAATTACTGTTCATCATTAAGGCAGACAGGATGAGAAGAATGAGGCCCTACTGTAAGCCACAAGAAATTTCCCAAGATGTCCTACGTTGAATTATATTTTAGGCTTACAATAGTGAAAAACAATCTATTTTGTATATTATTTACAAGCACAAACCAACCAAAAGAAATTGTGAACTTCTGAATTTTAAAAACTTTTTAAAAAGTATTTTATTCTGCTTAATAGAGTAGCAGAGTCAGTGGCACTTTAAAGGAAGAACATTTTCCTTAAGAATCTATTGTAAAATTACAATAGCAATTAATTAGGTCATTTTAATATGTACCAACAATCTCGTTGGAACAGGCCAGCATTCTGTAGATTGGCCATATAGATTCATCATGTAACTATGAAGTGCAGTTTAACTTTCCACACTTGAAGTACAGCACACTTCTGAGTCTTTCATCAATCCACTGAAAATATAAAAAGCCATGTTTTCTTACTTCGCTGTGACACTACAAACAACTAACTAAACCTATTCTATAAGGCTAGACAACGCATTGAGATTGGCTTAATTTTTGTAGGCCCTTACTTGAGGTCTTCTGAAATAGTAATTCTATTCATAATAGATTTACCTAAAAAACCTGTGTGTTGAGAAAAATGAAGATAGTGCACATAAAAGAAATAATCATTGTAGATTTGTATAGTTTTGTTTTATTATCAAATGCAAGAGACATTTATTAATGGTGTCTTGGAAGTATTGTTTACTGAAGTACGACAACTCCAAAAATAAAAGGTCACCTAACAATTCAAAATCCCTTGATATTTCATTTTATATTTTCTCTTCTCAGTTCATGACAGACACTGTTTCCTTGTTAGAAAGCTGTGCCCACTTAATCACTTGCTGAATTTACTCACAATGAAAAGGTGGCATTGCAAGTGTTCCATAACTGGTCCTTAGTCCACATTCTTTTCTGTTCATTCCAATATCTGTAGTATTCAGATACTCCCGAGTAGTTCCCAGGGATGAGGGATTATTCAAGGAACTTCTCTGGGTATCCAATGAAGATACACGTGGAACAGCTAACTAGAAGTCAATTGGGTATTTGCAGAGGAGCACTATAAGGCAAGGTTCTATGATGTAAAAAGCTACTGTGCTGGGAAGCAAATTAGAACTTGGTTGCAACAGCATGAGGTTCATAACATAGCTTAGTCCCATCTATACAGTCAATTGTGAGTACCTCGTAAAATCCAAGGCTCTAGCATGATTCACGAGAACTTGAAACAGTTGTTATAGAAGGTTCTAAAGTGAGTCCTTCAAACTGCAATTTGACAACGTAGATGAAACCTAAAAGTAGACTCTCAACCAACCTAAGCCAGGCAGGACACAAACACATTTTGCCATGTCATTGGACTAGCAATGGTTCTAAACCATCTCTAAAGAATTACTTCCCCCCCCCTGAGATTAACACTACAGAAGGAAGAAGCCTCACTATTCAGACTGGTGGATCTAAGGTCTTAGATATTATCAGCCTTTATAACTAAAGTACATTTAGACTAAAAATTATATACCCACAAATGCTCAAAGCTTTATTTTACAATGAACCTTGTAAATAGAAGTGATAAAAGATTGCCGTTTTAGCTAGCAACACAACCACCAATTTGTTGCGCAGTCCACATCAAAATTAAAAATTCAATGGACACTGAAAAGTCAGTTTACATAAAAGAAAACCAGATGACAAAAAACAGTGTAGGCAATGAATATATTTCCTATGTATTTATACATAATACTGTGATAAAATTAGTGAGTCAAATCCACGTTATGTTACAAAAGAATAAAGCTGTTTAAGGTACCAGTACCTTTCGCAGTAGCACGTTTATAGTACCAGGGGCGGATATAGGGCAGGGCGAACAGGGCAGCCGCCCCGGGCCCCGCGCTTCAGAAAGCCCCGCGCATGCGCCGTGGTGCCGCTGCGCATGGCGTCACTGTGCATGCGCCGTGGCAAAGGGGGGGCCCCGCGGAATTATGCTGCCCGGGGCCCCGCAAAACGGTCATCTGCCACTGTATAGTACTGTTCTCATATTTAAAATGCTCCATGATATTACAAGATTTTCAGGATGAGAAGACATTGTCCAAAATTTCAGCCAAGTAATTCCTGAAAACTGAGCATTGCAAAGCAGGTACTAACAAGTCAGGACCCAATATAGCCAGGTACTTAGGTAGTGTCTAACTTTAAAGTATGCAAGAAGCACTCACTTCAATGGGACTTACACACTTAATTAGGCACATACTTAAATGGGAGCTTATATTTTTAAGAGGTCCACTGACAAAACAAACAACTGACAGCAGTAGTGATAACCATTCAAGAGAAAGCACTGTATATCTTAGTGGATGATAAAACAATGCTCTTTATTTGGAAAATGAATTGTAGTCTAGTAGCCCACCACCAGTTACCCACCAATCAGAACATAGGATGCTGCCTTTTAGGTTTGTAAATACTAAACTGTAAGATTTTCATTACATGATGAACTGAGCTTTATATGGCAATATTTCAGATAAAGAAAAGAATTGTAATAATTTGTATACCTGATAAAACCTTTTTTGTCAGATGAGTTGTAATGGCAGCAGATGACTGTTGCCTAGACTTAGATTCCACCCGCCTTAAAATTCTTAGGCTGTATTACTTGAGAATTTGGAGAAAGTCACATAAAATTAGTCTATTTGCTTTAATTATTTAAGGACTGAAATATACTGTGTAACAAAAGGTGGTAATTATCTTAAATTGGCGGGATAAATCTATGCATATGAAATACTGACAAAACTAGACAAATAAAAGTCTCTCAATCTCAACAAGCATAAAATTAATCAAGAAGCCAAGATAAAATTCTGATCTCCTCTCCAAAAATAAAATCTACAGTAGGGGAATGATTTGACTGAATTTGTTAATTCAGTTAATAAAGCAATTCAAGTATTTAAACTGAGACAACACTAATGAAGAGAATGAAGCATTTTAGCCTCCTGCAGCTTTACATTACTAGAGCTTAACGTACTGTGCCACCAGAAAAGTCTTTTGTTTTATAAGTGAGTGCCACTGTATATTACATTATTCTAGGGCAAGTAAGAACAACATGTAAATGGGAAAAGTTAAAAATTGAGGAGAAAAGTATTTAAACCATTAAGTTACATGCAAGTCTGCAGAGTCATGTAGAATGATACAAATTACATTGACCAAAAGTTATTTCAACTTTCAGAAACCAATATTTGTAGGTTGCATTTTAAATCTAATTTTGCATTTCTGCCTCACATATGAAGCAGAAAAAAGTTAATCTGTGTTTTGAGTTCCCTCATCTCATCAGAATAAAACACTGATGATTTGGCCTACAAAACTACATGTAGAGTATTTCGGACCATAGTTCCTTGAATTTCAGACAGTAAGATGTGTTCCTTTAAAGAAATAAGAATGTTCTTATCCATTGCAGGTCTTGCCTTTTTTACACTGCTGAGGATCTGATTAAAAAAATAAACATACGAGTATTAGAAATGCTGATCCTGAGATGAAATATGGGAAATTTAAATCCAGTGTGATCTTTATTCAAACTTTTGTTTAAGTTTCTTCTGGAAGACAGCTGGCAGAATAGAGAGGATAGCTAGAATCATGAGAACAAACACAGAGTTCCAGGAAACAGCTTCCCCTGCTGTTGTAAGCTGGTATAGTGTTGTTCCTGCCTTAATTGCTACAAAAGATGGAGGTGCAACACCTATTTGTACAGAAATAAAAACAAACAATTAGTTGAGAACATTAAAAGCGCACTTTCACATTTTTTTTAAAAGCTAGCAAATATCCTCCATCTTAGAAGCGTGTTGGACACAGTTTAAAATAACATTCACAACTTCATTCATAAGTAGTACAGTATCATATATCCACCATTTTTTCTTACCTCTATCTAAACAGGCAGTGTGCATTCTTTTTCTGCTACGTATATTGCATTGACTTTTTAGGTTGCATACACAGACCAAAAGGAAGTTTACTATGTCTGATTTTGTTTCTAATGATACATTTCTGCATAGGTTTTTGTTAGCAATCCATTATGAAAGCAAACATTATACACTATTTCCAAACAAAGACCCTGAATTACCCTCCCAAAATAGAAAAGACAAGAAAGTATGCTGGCACACAGGAAATCATAGATCCTAAACACCCAAACTAAGAACACTTTACAGTTCCCATATATTTCTATTAATACGTTTTAAAAGACAATGTCCTTCTAAAAAAGCATTTTACTTAATAAGCTTTATCACAAATAGGCTGTTACATTTAAGTCTGAACACCATAGTACAATCTTGT